TCTGAGACGTGGTTCTTCAGAATTTCTGGCAGCTCGATATCCCTCAGCTAGCTATGGCTATGCTCAGAGAATATACTATATACTGTATATACGGCAATTTTCTAGTATTCTTCTTCGATATACTCTATGACTTAGCACCGGCTTCAATGGCTAAAATTATTTTTATTAAAATCTTAATTTTTTTTATTTAAGTAAACATAAAATTTCAAGAACCAATTTCTTGGATTTTTATGGTTACTTGCTCTACTTAGATTTTACTTATATTCATCTTCTTTCATTTTGAGTTGAATTATATATTAGGTAAACTAATAGAGATTTCCTTAATATGCATATGAGGTATATGTATATATAGAATACCAATACATTCATATATTGATTTCTAACATAAACAAACAGTATTTTGGGAATAAGAATGCATTATTAATATATATATATATATATATATATATATATATATATATATATATATATATGCGTTATTATATAAGTTCAATTTCATAAATAGGTGAGACATATCTCTTAACGCTAATCTAATCGTCATCCGTTTTAATGTAACTGATAAAAATGATTGACGATTTAATAACTTTGTAGATATTATTAACTTAAGCATCAATAATTTTTCAGTATTTTAGACTTGAAATAATTATTTTATTGTTATCATCTTAATTTATAATATTTTATTTCATTGCGGCCTACCAAAAGTCTACTGCTAAACATATGCCTTCTCTATAGATCGCCTCATACATCCCCCATTTGCCATAGTTGCCACATTGGGCAGGCGAGTTGGCAACCGAAGTCTTTTATTATTTTGAAGTGTTGTCAGGAAAATACTGCTGCCCATCTTCTGTTCGTGGTGCCGCTTACGCTGCCCACAGGACGGTTTGTGATGATGGTCTCTCTATCGCAGCCATTATGTTATAGGAATAATAATTACAGTACATGTCTGATATGAGTCGTTTATGCAGAATTATATTTTATTAGCTTTTCGCTTCACCGTCGCCCACGTAGGTTTTAATTTAGGAACATAATCAACGCTTAGGCGAATGCTACACGCGCGATATTTATCACGATCTGGGACGCGATCTGGAATGACGTATCGCGATCCATATCGACACACCCTACACGTTCATTACGGATCACGTCAGTATTGGGCACAAAACTGCTAAGTGCAGACATATCTAAAATGGACTGAAATGTAGAAAAAGCTTTTTTTAATAAGATAGGATGACAAATGAGTACACAGTCCACCTGATGGTAAGTGGTTGCTGTAGCCCATAGACATCTACATCTATCCTCGATTACAAATCGGAATGCAGATGCGTTGTCACCCGTGAGGACTAAGATGGAATGCCTCGTTTCCAGTAAAAAGGGTCTCCGGTTCTCTACACTCACCATAAGAAACACAGTAGCATTAAGATACTATTTCACGCTGGTATTCTGTGAGAGCGTGGTTCTTCCCCGGTCAAGCCGACGTATTCGTGCTACAACTATACTACTAATATAACTGCAGCATGGCTCTACCACATATAAAAGCTTGTGTGGCTGTCATTATAGCAATAATATTTATTTTATTTATTTTTATTTATTTATTTATTTATTTATTGATCTCTTAACAACTTCTTACTGGCTAGTTAACAATAACAATGTAGTAAGGACCTAACGTTATGAGAGACTGGTGCCTATGATAGGTTTTATAAGGTTACCAGGCCCCCCTCGCGGATTGGTTACATATACTACAAAGTACAATACAGAAAGGAAATATCATATAAGAGTTATAAAAAGTTACATAATAGGCGAATTGTAAAATTCATGTAATGGATATGTGATTCATATAATGCAAATGATATATATATGTGCGTGCGTGCGTGCGTGCATGTGTGTGTGTGTGTGTGTGTGTGTGTGTGTGTGTGTGTGTGTGCTATTGAAGCAATCCTGATGCTGGAGTATCGTTATTAGCGGTTTTAGAAATTGTTATATGAGTAATTTACTCGTTTGAGAAAATTAAAAGTATTAATGTTGGGTTAACAGAAGATTCTCTGTTTCTTGGTAATTAAGGGTTTTTAAGAATTTTGTCAATGTTATTTTACAACTAGATTTGGTGTTGGATATATGTTTAAAATTTTATTTAGTTTGTTATAAAGAAAGGGTCCCATGAAGCAGAAAAACTTACGTGAAAGAGCTGAGTTGAAAGTTTGAGTTTTGCAAATTATATCTTTGCGGCGCTTATCCTTTGGAAAATCTGGGTTATAATGTAGATGAGAATGTTGTTTAAGTACGATATGCAGGATGAAGGTTTGTCTAACCGTTAGTACATCCCATTTTTTATACAGCTCGTCTGTAGGAAAATGGAAAGGGAGACCACCACCTGCTTTGAGAATTACACGTTGTGCTCTCTCTACTTCTATAAGATATGTTTTGGCACCTCCTCCCCATGATGTTATACAATATTCAATCAGAGATTGACATAAAGCGAAGTAAACTAACATTATAACACGGCGTTCTGCTATATGTTTTAAGGTTCTGAATATAAATATGAGTTTTCGCAGACGGGATACTAAAGCTTCAAAGTGGGGTTTGAACGTTAAAGTCTGAGCAATCAAAATGCCAAGATATTTGATTTTATCGGTTCTTTCAACTAAGGGACAGTGACATCCGGGAAGTCTAAGACCACAGGTGTGGGCTGTGATTGTCAAAGATAGAGGTGAAAGGAGGTTAGCTCTATGACCAAATGCAATGTACTTTGTTTTATAAACATTCAGTGTTAAGACATTGTAACTAAGCCATTCACAGACTTTATTTAATCCCATCTGAGCGTTCTCAAAAACATTATGCCAGGAATCATCGGCAAAGAAAAGAGCAGTATCATCAGCATAGGTGATTATTTTTCCTTTAGAGAGCTGAAGTTGGCATAGGTCATTGATATATACCAGAAAAAGTGTCGGACCGAGAATACTGCCTTGTGGCACAAATTTGATAGTTAACTCATCACTTAATGTATAATGATCTAAACGGACCCGCTGTCTTCTATCGGTCAAATAATCTTCCATCAGTTCTAATGAAATACCCTTTACACCAGCCCTTTCTAGTTTTTTTACGAGGTGAGGGGTATAGACTGTGTCAAAAGCTTGAGACAAGTCAAGGAACACTTTTAAACACTTGTTTTTTCTATCTAAATTAAGTATAGTCGTGTTAATAAGATCATGAACAGCATCATTAGTAGTCTTACCGCGTCGGAAACCAAATTGATTGGATGAAATAAAGTTATTTGACTCCAAAAAGCTAACCAACCTTTGATTGACTAGTCGCTCCAAAATTTTTGATAAGGTTGGTAAAATAGAGATCGGCCGATAATTAACGACTGAGTTTCTATCACCTCCCTTGAAGATGGGTGTGATAAGGGCTATCTTAAATGCACTAGGAAATACACCGGTTTCTAAGGCCAGGTTGTATATTCGTAAAATTGGGGGTATTAATATTTTTATATACCTCTTTATAATTTTTCCGGAGATCAGATCACTTCCCGCAACGCAGTTGTCCTTTAACCCCTTAATGAGCTGAGAGATTTCTGCTTCGTCGGCAGTAATCATAACAAGTGAGTTAAGAGAGGTTTGAGTAAAGAGAGGAGAAAAATTACCATCAGGTGCAGCTAGTTGTCGGTTTGTACACTTTATTTGCTGGGCCAGCCTAGATCCCACATTGGCAAAATAAGTGTTAATATTATCGTCTTATACCGGCTAATTTTCTTTATGACTTCCCATAGTCTCTTATTGTTGCCTTTAGTATTTTTTATTTCTTGCTTTTCGTAGCTAAGTTTCGCTTTTTTTAATAACGTGTTACAAAAATTCCTATAACGTTTGTAAATCCTGATATTTTCGTCAGTTGGATTTTTTTTCAATTTTTTATGGAGGTTATCTCTATTCCTCATACACCGAAGCAGACCTCTGGTTTTCCACGGTTTACTAATACGTTGTCTAATAGGAGTTTTAACCAACCTACTGTTGTTTTCGATGGCAATATATAAGTACGATATGAGTATATTTGTCGCTAAGTTGGCATCAGTACTTTCAATAATTGGCCGGAAGTTTATATTAGATATCGATTTATCTAATCCCTAAAAATCGATTATATTTTTTTTTATTTAATTGCGAAGAGTAAGTGATTTGATTGAGACTGACAGCTACGGTCTCATGGTCAGTAATTGATGTTTCAAAAACGAAACAGGTTGCTTCCAGGTAGGTTTTTATCATTACGTGATCTAAGCATGTCCGTCCATGGGTGGGTATAGTATGGCCAGGTAGAATACAATGACTTGCTAGTACGTTTAAATAATCATGCGAGCGCTTATCGGAGGTATTAGAGATTATATCAATATTAATATCACCACAAATAATGATATTTTTATAGCTACTTAGTTTTAAAAGAAGTAAGTCCAAAGATTTAATAAAATCGTATATGTTAGTTTTACTCGGCGGGCGGTATATACCAATAATGCAAGTATATGAATTTAATTTTAGTAGGATGCAATTTGCATCACTTATGTGAGGTTCCTCATAAGTGACGTTAATATTTTATTGTAATATATTACGACTCCCTCATTTTAAGTTATGAACAGTAGTTGCTATGATATGATAATTCTCAAGATCGGGGATTTGCCTCGTTAGAGAAAGCCAACATTCTGTTAGGACTATAATATCCCAGAATAATTCGGATCTATTTAGAAGCGTGATTAGATTCGGCATATTACAGTTAATGCTGCGTATATTTTGACACAAAATATTTAGTTTACAATTAAAAACATTCTTTCTTACCGTAAGCGGTCCATGCAGCGAATAACTTTTTGTTCTTGACACTCTCACGGGCTATATAAAAAACTCTTCTTAATTTGGTTGTCAAGTATTCTGAAATGTAGATTGAGCGCGGTGTACCAGGTAAATTAATGTGTTCCGAGTTTAACACTGTTTCTCCGTTTTGCCGTTTGGATTTATTATACTTTTTATAATTTAAAAGGTTTCCTTCCTCAGTATTGAATTGAAATCTACTATTATGGCGTCTGTCTTTGTACGGAATATATTTCTTATCTCCGTGTCCTGAATGAGAGTATTCAGACCCAAAGTTAAGCCAAGTTTATGGATTATATCGTTCAGGACTATCTTATTTTCGTTGGTCTGTACCGGCAGGTTACGTATTTCAATTGAATTACCCCGCGCGCATTTTTCAAAGAGGTCTAGTTTAGTTTCTAAGGTGAGGATTTGCTGCTTATATTCATTATTTTCTAGCTCTAAATGATTTATTTTTGCTAACAAATCTTGATGTTGGTGAGTAAGAGTCTCAACAGATTTTTGAATTTCTTGATTTTGGGTCACGATGGTCATGAGTGCGGTATTCAGTAATTCAAATTTCTGATCTTGTTGAGTTTTTAGCTCAGCAAACATAACTTTGATTTCAGAGATGGACGACAGCGGCTGAAATGGGAGATCGCCTAACGTACGTTTAAGGCTCTTTGTAATCTTAATATAATTATTGTCATCCAAATCAGGGTTACTTGACATGTTAAGGGCTGAGTCTGAGTTGTAATGCATTGCAGAATTTTGTATATTCAGTTTCTGACGAGAGCCGGGCGGAGTCCGCTGCGTCGACATCGTTAATATAATTAAATTAATTAGGCGGTATACGTAAAAATCTTAGGCTAAAACAGCCGTGAGAGCGAAAACACAATATGCGTACAAACGTGTAAAATAAGGATAGCAAAATGCTGTTTGAGTAAGTAGGTGTAGTCAGTAATGAGGTGAGTCACGTTGTTATTCTCATCTTCGTCCAAAGACGTATTGTACTGCTCTTTCACTGCAAGTTAGCTCTCTGATGCTATGTGCTCCTAGTATTATTGAAGAGATGCCTTTGTAGCCTCTTGTGTGCTTGTTCACAGTTCACTGTCATTGACTATATTTCTTGCTGGATTGACTTTCTACGGCCGCCTAAATGATATGCACTCCTAATATTTAACTTCTTATTTTTCCTATTTCACAAAGTTAATTTTGCAGTTTGATATTGCACTATAGACACGTCTGAATAACACAGAATCCGCGAGGGAAAGCCAATATTAAAAGGGAGAGTGTCGATTTATTTTCTAACATCTATTGAAGCGTCATTTTTTTATTTTTTTATAAATTGGTAGTAACTTCTGAAATGCCTTCATGCGCTTACAATTGTTTTTAAAACCATCACACGATGTGTCCCATAGTATGGGCGTTGTTTCCAAACATAATATAAAAGCCTGTAAATATTATTGATGTTGTTTGTACAACAACATTTCATACTTTTTTATGTCGGACATGTATTCCGATGAAACCTTCATCATAATTGTCATTATTACAGCCCTATACACTGCTGAACGTAAGCCTCCCCCAAGGAATACCACGAAGATCGGGTCTGAGCTACCTACATCCGTCGACTTCTTGCATGTTTTCACAGGTTATCTCCATCTAGTGAGGGACGCCCTCGTCTCGTCGTCTTGCCATACGAGAACCATTTCTGCAAATCTGTTGTCGGTTCTTCGAGCTGTGTGGCCGGCACATTGCCACTTCAGCTTACTAATCCGTTGAGCTATGTCGGTAACTCTCGTTCTTATTTGAAGTCTATTACGACTCTCGATATTCTTATTTAAAGTCTATTACGAAGAGAAACCCGATGAATCCTTATGAAGAGAATATTGTCTTAGAATCTGAACTGCGTTATTTACTTTTTATTCATTACATTTATTTAAAATTACACGATTTTTCTAAAGATTTATTAAAATATGTTTATTGATTAAAACTACTTACTACTGCCGAAACGTCAGGAATTAAAAATCATATATATTAAACGCGATAAAATCCGTAAAGGTAATTTTAATCATTGTGTAGTGTTCCCGTAAACATTAGAGATAATTATAAAATGTGTTTAAATTATGGGGGATGAGTCGCTCGCGTCCGTAGGCTTCGACCACCTAACCTTAGACCCACCCTACACGTGTCCCCCGGGTGGTGCTAAACGAGCGACAAAGCCAAAAAAATAGACTCGGCTCCTCGCCGTATGGTAGCGGCGTAAAATCTACCACCACCCCTTGTTCGCACCATGACTCAGAAAATAAAAGAAATGGCCCCGAGTTCACGGCGCCCCTTCAATGGGGCAGGGGTGCGAAGAATCTCCGGGAGAAAAACCGGCGACGAGGTTCGCCACCCGTCAAGTTCTGTCTCCCGGAGGGGTGAAAAGTGGATTGCGGAAACCCGTCTGGCTACGCTGAATGTATGTGGAGTAATGAATGATAAGATGGATGAAGTATGCGAAATAATGAATGACAGAGGAATAGATGTGTTATGTGTGAATGAGACGAAACGAAAGGGAAAGGATGCAATTGCACATGGCACGTATACCGCGTATTGGTCTGGTGTAGACGAGACCGAACGGGCATGCCAGGGAGTCGGTTTCATCCTTTCAGAAAGAATGGGTCAATGTGTGAAAGAGTATGAATGTGTAAGCCCGAGGCTGCTATGGATACGAATAAAAGTGGGCTTAAAGAAGCTGTTCCTGCTAGGGGTGTACGCCCCAGACATGTCTAAGCCCACTTACATCCGAGAGCAGTTTTGGGACATGGTAAGGATGGTGTTGACAAAATGTAAGGAAAATGAAAATATTATTATGTTAGGAGACTTTAATGGAAGGGTTGGGGTGAAGAGGTCTGGTTATGAAAGGATATTGGGAATGTTTGGTGATGAAAGTATAAATGAGAATGGTGAAGACCTCCTCACCGTATGTGTGGAAAAGAATCTTTTTGTGACGAATACTTTTTTCGTCATAAGAAGATTCACATGTATACATGGGAAAGAGGTGATGATAGAAGCATGATAGATTTCGTAATTGTGGATGAAAGAATGAGGAGCGCAGTCGTAGATACAAGAGTTTACCGGGGGTCCAACGTAGGGACGGATCATTACTTAGTCTTATGTCGAATTAATGGTCTTTTCAAGCGTTGGCGGCATCGGACATCTGTGTCTACCACTGCGTTACAGCGTATAAGAATAGAGAAGTTACAAGATGAAAATGTAAAAGAGAAGTATAAATGTAGACTGAGAGGAAATATTAGATGTTTGAATGAGTTGTGTATGAATGATTTAGACTTGAATACTGTGTAGGACAATATTAAGAAAGGTTTGGTGGATGAAAATCCGTAATGTCAGTTGTGGTGCTTACTGCGCTTTCGAAAAATTCGCCTGGGAGTCTTAAAGGCTCGCCGTAGACGAGTTCTGCTGAGGAATACTTCAGATCAGCTTTAAATGCGCTTCTGATGCCCAATAGTACTAGAGTAGTTCCGTCCAGTTGCTATCAGCGTGACATGTAATAGCTGTCTTCAGCTGTCGGTGGAATCTTACTACTAGGCCATTAGAAGCGGGATGGTAAGCTGTGGTTCTGTGGTGTTTGAATCCGATTATTTTCGATAGATAATTAAATAAATCGGATTCGAACTGCCGTCCACGGTCCGTCACTATGTCAGTTGGACAACCAAATCTGGCGATCCAACCTGATAGGAGTGCCTTCGCTACAGTTTCGGCTGTAATGTCCGCTATGGGGATAACTTCTGCCCATCTCGTGAAACGATTAACTGCTGTTAAGCAGTAGCGAAAATCATTCGAGTATGGGAGTGGACCAATAAGATCGATATGCACATAGGAAAACCTGGCTCGTGGTAAATGTATGTGCCTAAAGGTGCTGACACATGGCGGTTTACCTTAGAGCGCTGGCAGGCTAAGCACGTACGAGACCATTCCCGGCAGTCTTTTCTGACTCCTGGCCAAACGAATCGCTGTGCTACCAGCTTAGCAGTAGCGTTTGCGTCAGGGTGACTTAAAGAATGTAGACTGTCAAAAATAGCTTTTCGAAAACTTTTGGGAACGAAAGGTCTTGGTATGCCTAAACTTATATCGCAAAAAATTTTGACTTTGCTATCGGGCTCTTTAACTTTAATAATGCGAAGTGATGATTCATCGCCTAGAAGTGCTCAGAATCTATGGACTGAGCTTTAGCGAGCTCTTTAAAATCCACCGGCTGCTGTATTTCATCCACGCGCGACAGAGTATCAGCAACGATATTATCCTTGCCGGATATGTGCTGAATGTCGCTTGTAAATTGAGACACAAAATCTAGATGTCTATACTGACGCGGCGAACAGTTACTTTTCCTTACATGGAATGCATAACATAAAGGCCTATGGTCAGTATAGACTGTGAAGTTGCGTGCCTCGAGCATGTGGCGAAAATACTTAATGCCTTCATATATAGCCAGCAACTCACGGTCGTAGGGTGAGTACTTCTGTTGTGATGGGATAAGCTTTCGCGAAAAGAATGCTAATGGCTGCCAGGCATCATCTTTGTACTGCTGCAGTACAGCACCCAATGCTAAGTCTGATGCATCCGTTACCAGAGCTAACTTGGCTTGGCAATCGGGGTGTGCTAATAAGGCAGCGTTGCAAAGACTGTCCTTAGACTGCTCAAAAGCTGTTAGTGCGTCGCCTGTCAGGTCTATAGCTTGTGAAGCCTTCACCGAATCAGTTAATAAGGCGTTTAAGGGTGCTTGAATTTTTGCGGCTTCTGGTAAGAACCGCCTATAGAAATTAAGCATACCCAAATAACGTCTGAGCGCTTTGACTGTTCGGGGCTTATTGAATTCTTTAATGGCTTGAACTTTTGACTCAAGTGGCTTAGTGCCTGCAGCTGAGATGTGGTACCCCAGAAACTGTACCTGTGATGAACCAAATACACACTTAGAGGTGTTCACCAGTACTCCGTCTTGCCAAAGACAATATTGAGGTGATGTTCGTGCTCAGTAGCACTTCCAGAAAATACTAAGAAGTCATCTAAGTAACAGTAACAGAAATCCAGTCCTCTACTCATTTCATATACAAACCTTTGGAACGTTTGTGCTGAGTTCCGGAGTCCAAACATCATGCATGGGAACTCGTACAAACCAAACGGTGTGGTGATTGCCGTTTTCTGGATGTCATCCTCAAAGATAGGGATCTGGTTGTACGCTTTGACAAGGTCGATAGTCGAGAATACGGTGCATCCTGATATGTTGTGCGAAAAATCATGAATGTGTCTGATTGGGTACTTATCCGGTATGGTGCGTGCGTTGAGTAGCCTGTAGTCTCCGCAGGGGCGCCACCCATTGTCTTTTTTGGGAGCCAAATGTAAAGGAGATGCCCAGGAGCTCTCAGAAGGACGCGCCGTTCCGTTGCTAAGCATCAGCTCAAATTCTTTCTTAGCTATTGCAAGCCTGTTAGGAGCTAACCTGCGAGGAGCGCAGGATATGGGAGGTCCAGGCGTAGTGCGAATGTAGTGTACGGTGTTATGTACAGAGGTGTGTGGTGTGCCCGCTGGTCGTGTTATTTCCGGATATTTAGCTAAAATAGTGTGGTATCGTGTGACGCCAATAGGAACCTTAACAGAATTAATATTATTTACATTTTTAGTAATAAAAGCAATTGTCGACAAGGATGTTAAATTATCAATTAATCGTTTGTTTTTAACGTCTACAATTAGGTTATAGTGACTAAGAAAATCTACTCCTATTATGGCTTTATTTACGTCGGCAACAATAAAATTCCATG